TTTGTCGGCTTCATTTCAGAGGGACGGATGTTCATAGAGGAGAGGAGCTGGATTCTCTGGACTTTACCTGTGAAGCAGCAGCAGAGGAGAGTCCAGATGAGGATGGAGATCAGAGTCATGTTTCTGATGAGGAGGATTTCTGTGGCTCCTGTTGTCATGAAGGACAGCTGTCAGTCCTCCAGGGTTCAACTCTCAGGACTATAAGATTTTGGATCTTCACTATCAGTTATCATTACATCATCCTACTGCCTGCTCTGCCATGGACCTGCTCATCTGACCTACTATCTCCTGCACTCTCTCCTGCTGCCCTGGACTGTTTCTTCTGCCTGCGGTGCTCACCTGCTGAGAGCCGGCGCAGTCAGCTAATCAGCAAGCTGCGTCCCACCTTCAACCCCGGGTTGCAACACCAGCAGTACAGTCCACCCAGCGCTCCCAGCTGCCCCGCGACCGGTGGATGAAACCAGCTCTGTCACTTCTCCTCTATACACTCATTAAATGCACTTACCTTGTCAAGCCTGAATCTGAGTCCTGCATTCCTTTTGAGTCTACGCACGCACTACGTACGGCGTGCCGTAACAGTGAGTGAAATCAGTCCCTGATCCACTTCCACTAAAACGATCAGAAACTCTAATCTGACATGATTGAGCATTATAAATTAAGAGTTTAGGAGCTTCTCCAGGTTTCTGAAGGTACCAGTGGAGGTTGTTACTAACACTTGTACTGGCTTTACACCGGATGTTGACAGTCTGTCCTGGAGCAACAGACTGAGCTCCTGGAGACTGAGTCAGGATGATTTGTCCTGATGAACCTGTAAAACATGACAAAGAGGAGAAGGGTTACTGAGACAAATCCAGCTTGGAGAAAGACCATCAGCATCCAAACAGAAGAGGATCATTTCTTTAACATGGAGAACAGATGGAAGAAGGTCAGTGCTGCTTGTTTCAGTGTTTCTCCATCAGAGCAGAACATCACTGTGGTGAACCTGGTCACATCCTGAAGCCACGTTCTCAGAAGAGAGTCTCACCGTGAACGAGGAGCCCCAGGGCGGCCAGCAGTAGAGTCAGAGACATCATCACGGTGCTGCTGGTGTGTCAGTGGCTCTGAAAGGCCTGGACAGCCACTGATCAACACTGGCCTCTTAACGGCTGGGAGCACAGAGGCAGGACACATATGCAAACACACACAGTGGCTCAGCTGCAGCTGTTCTCAGCGTGTCGGCCTGTTTCCCTTCAGTACTGTTAGTACTCACTACTTAAATTTAAATCATTCAGACATAATGAAGTGAATATCTGCTGGTGAGAAACTGAGTTTCCAGACACAGTTAGAAAAGCTGCGGTGCACAATGGTTGATAATTTTACTCAACAATGCGCAAAATGTGATTTGAAAAGGCCCAAGTCCAATCTACTTTTATATCTAAATGTAGAGTTTTTGATATTAAATGTTAAGACAGTTGGTCTGGAAGTGGAATCAAAGCCATGATAAAACAAGAAACTGAAATGGGAAAAGAGAAGAATAGTTTTTGTTGATACTTTTTAAATCAGACATGAGGAAAAGTGTTTCCATCTTTCTCAAAGATCCGTCTTAATTTAAAACAGGGCCATCAATACAATTTGTCAAACTGATATTGTGACAAAATGATAAATGTATGTGACATGGATAAGAAGACAGACTGTTAGTTTGACTCCATGGCCAGTACATATTGTGGCTCTCAGACCATCTTTATTGATAAATATAATGTGAAATGTAGAATGATTCAATCTTGTTTGCTGACACTGTTTGTGTGTGTGTGTGTGTGTCCTCAGTGAAGTGTATCAGTCTGTGCAGTAGCTTCCAGCTGCAGCAGTCACTTCAGTTTCTGTTCAGTCTGACTGAGGGAGGTTTTTGTACGACACTTTTTCACTGTGTGAACAACCACAGACTGTTGATGTTGTGGACACTCTGACAGTAGTAAACTGCTGCATCTTCAGCCTGGACTCCACTGATGGTCAGAGTGAAGTCAGAGTTTGATCCACTGCCTGTAAAACGACTTGGAGTCCCTGATGCTCGAGTGTTAGCATTGTAAATGAGGAGTTTAGGAGTTTGTCCATCTCTTTGTTGGTACCAGTGTAAACGGTTCCCACTATAAACATTCTGACTGGTCTTACAGTTGATGGTGATGGAGGCTCCCAGAGCAGAGCTGACAGCTCCAGGCTGAGTCACTGTGACCTGGCCTCTGGACTCTGAGGACACAGAGACAAACACATAAAGCAGCGTCACGGTTTTGTCGGCTTCATTTCAGAGGGACGGATGTTCATAGAGGAGAGGAGCTGGATTCTCTGGACTTTACCTGTGAAGCAGCAGCAGAGGAGAGTCCAGATGAGGACGGAGATCAGAGTCATGTTTCTGATGAGGAGGATTTCTGTGGCTCCTGTTGTCATGAAGGACAGCTGTCAGTCCTCCAGGGTTCAACTCTCAGGACTATAAACTCTCCCAGAGCACTGGAGCATGGTGCTGCTGATGCAAAGTGGCTCTATGGAAATGCTCTGACTGAGTCCAGCAGGGACTGGGATCCCTCTGGTCAGCCTGGGATCAGTGGATCAGTCAGAATTAACACCATCATAAACTCAGAGTGTGTGTCAGTGACATCTTTTTATACAGCAAATGTCCTCATTTTCCTATTTTAAGTTTTTAATTAGTCACAATTTAATTTGTCCTTTTATTGACAATGAACAGTGCTGGAATTCAGACCCTTCTTAGTTTGGGTTTAAGTGTCATTCACATTGAAGCTTGTTTTGATAACCTCTATCACTGACAGAAGATCAGTTTACACCAGAAGTATTAACTCATAGAACAAACAGGCAAACAATGAAATTCTCTTTTATTGAAGCATGAGACAGATCAGTAAATACAGTATATCAGAATCCTCAAAGATCAAATTACACTTCAGTTTCAAGGTGCCTCCACATACAGTGAACAGGAGACATTTTAGAAAAACCCAAAGTAAGTTCACTTTTTATTTTATTCACTTTGTTCTACAGAGCAGTGTCATGACCCCAACTCGATCTAGTGGAGAGGGCAGTAAAATAAAACTAGTCAGGAAAGTATCAGCAGCATCATTTTTACTTTTTTCAGTCCCTAACATTTCATTTTCAGAATTAGAGGCAAAACCAAACAGCACTTTAATAGAGATTAAAGTCGCACTGCTACTGTAGCTAAGCTGAGAAGAAAAGAGAAGTAGAGTCCTGAATCTGACTCACTGACATCAGACAACAGAGGAGAAAAGGAGAGTTATTGTACACCGGCCAGCCATAACATTATGACCACCTGCCTAATACTGTTTACATAGGAGTCAATGTGGCAGTTGGTTGGCCCTTGTGACACTCTGCAGCTCACTGTGCATCATCTGTAAATCCATTTGCTTCCACAGTTGTACTGTCAGGAAGAGCACAGATGTGCCTACAATTCAGTGAAAAACTTATGTAAAAGGAGTAAAAACTGTGGTCGTGAGGACGAGTTAGAGAGATTTTTTTAGACGAATTCAATAGCTTCACCACTACAACCCCTGACTTTTTCTCTTCACAGCCCCGACCACACCTGACTCTGGGTTTGAGGTCTTTGAGTCAGCATCACTGATTCGAGTTCAGCGTCATGGGCGGGGCTGTGTGCTGCGCTGTGATAGGGCAAGGCTGTGGAGCTACTAAATATTGAGTTTTACACTTGGCGAGACATTTAACATTTACATTTACATTAACATTTAACATTTACATTTAGATTTGTCACATTCAGCTAAATGTGAGAAAACTAGTGTAAGTGCAATTTTTACATTCGGCGCCCCATAGATCGGTATAAGTCAGGCACACACCAGTGAAGAGCCCCTTATCTTTTCAAAAACACTCAAAGTGTCTTTAGCCTGAAGCAAGGCATAGGATTTATTGCAAAAGGTCACAAAAAGCAATATCTCTGTCCCTTCTGGACTCAGAGTATTTCCATAGAGCCACTTTGCATCAGCAGCACCATGCTCCAGTGCTTTGAGAGAGTTTATAGTCCTGAGAGTTGAACCCTGGAGGACTGACAGCTGTCCTTCATGACAACAGGAACCACAGAAATCCTCCTCATCAGAAACATGACTCTGATCTCCGTCCTCATCTGGACTCTCCTCTGCTGCTGCTTCACAGGTAAAGTCCAGAGAATCCAGCTCCTCTCCTCTATGAACATCCGTCCCTCTGAAATGAAGCCGACAAAACCAC